CATCGCTGCGTTCTCACATCGGGGTGGTGCCCCAGGACACAGTGCTCTTCAACGACACCATCGCCAACAACATCCACTACGGACGCATCCTGGCCACTGACGAGGAGGTGCAGGATGCAGCCCGGGCTGCTGACATCCACGACCGCATCCTTTCCTTCCCCGATGGTGAGACCCCTGCGGTCCCTTCCTTGCCCTCCCCTGCCACCCCGGGGTCCCCCATGATCTTGTAGCTGCCCTCACGGGTGTCCTTGAGTAACATCCCCCGCAGGGACACCTGCACAACCCTGGTGCCTTGTTTTGCCTCTCCCTGCCATCCTTCCAGGGCTCAATCAGGCCCTGGGCAACGATGGGTTGAGGCTGTGCCAGGCAGCCATGTGGTCCTGGCAGGACTCCCCCCCCCGCCATGCAGCAGAACCCCCTGGTCCCCATCCCAATCTCTTAGGGCACCAGCGCAGCACGTTCCTGCCCTTGTGCCTGCAGGATACAACACCCAGGTGGGAGAGCGAGGGCTGAAGCTGAGCGGGGGGGAGAAGCAGCGCGTCGCCATCGCACGCACCATCCTGAAGGGTCCCCGCATCATCCTGCTGGATGAGGTAACGGCAGCGGCCCCGAACCCAGCCTTGCCCTGCTCTGCTCCCGCAGCAGCTGCCTGTGCTGCCCACGTCCCTTCCCTCCCTCCTCCCTCTCCCACAGGCCACGTCCGCACTTGACACGGAGACCGAGAGGAACATCCAGGCCTCCCTGACCAAGGTCTGCGCCCACCGTACCACCATCGTTGTTGCACATAGGTAGGGATGGAGGGGGAAAAGTGCTGAGCTCTCTGAGCTGGCCGAGCCCCCGCAGAGGGACCCGCAGACCTGTCCTCCTGCCCAGGAGGTGACAGCCTCTGCAACTGCAGCTCCTTCAACTGTGCAAACACCCCCCTCCCACCCTGAGCCCTCTCCCCTCCGAGCTGGGATAACACCCTGCTGTTCCCTGCAGGCTTTCCACCGTGGTGGGCGCAGACCAGATCCTGGTGCTTAAGGATGGGCGCATCGCGGAGCGAGGGAGGTGAGCACAGGGGGAGGGCTTGGTGCGCTCTGCCTGCTGGGGACCCCCGTCCCTGGCTCTGGGGCCAGCGCGGGACCCTGAACCCCTCTGCTCTCCCCGCAGGCACGAGGAGCTGCTGCAGAAGGGCGGCGTGTACGCCGGCATGTGGCTGCAGCAGCAGGCTGGGGACGAGGGCGAGAGCAAGGAGCGCCGCACTGAGAAGCCCCCAGGCAGCAAGAAGGGTCCGTGAGCACGGCTGGGAGCTCTGCTGTGACGCTAACTCGGGGCCCAGGCCCCCACGCTGCCAGGGACCCCTTTGCCAGCCAGGGCCACGCGTGCCCCAGGAGCTGCAGGGGCTGGGTTGGACACTCCACTATGTTTGTACCCGTTTGTTTTGCTGTTGTGTAGTTTCTTAAACCAGGTCCTTCCCAGCTCTGCGCCTGTGTGCTCTGGGCAGGGTACGTGCCTACAGGAGCCCTCTGTCTGGGGTGGGGGTGGCTGTGCTGCAGGCAGGGGCAGGCAGGGTTGCTGCCTGTGCCTGTGGTTTGACCAGCAGCTCTACCATGGGGTTGAGCTCCTTGGGCTTGGGCGGGCAAAGGGCCAAGCAGGTTGCCCCATTCCTGCAGAAAGGGCTGAGCATCCCAGGGGGCAGGAAGAAGGGGTGCAGCTGGTGCCCACTTCATCCCCATGTGTCGTCCCCCCTCCTTCCATCTCCTTGTGCCACCATCCGCAGAAGGTGACCTGCTCTGGGCTGGACACCAAACTCCCCCAAAGCGCCTTTGCACCTTGTGCTATGCTTTTATTTTCTCCCAAGCAGCACTTTGACAAGTCTCAGCGTTCCCTCAACCCAGCCTGAACCCACCTCCCGTGCCAGGGAGGCACTGCCAGCAGATAACCCCCCCCCCCAGCTGTACGCTGCTCCGAGCGGGACAGCTCAGCCCTGTGCAGAACCAAGCACAGCCCCACAGGCAGGGAAGCTCGAGAGAGGGTGGGAAAGCACCGCTCTGCACGGCTGCAGACCCCCTCGCAAGAGGCCAGCAGGATAGGTATCCCCCTGGTCCCCCCAAGGGGTCAGCTCCTGCCGCCACACACCAGCAAGAAAGGCTTGGCTCCAGGCTCAGGGCTTTGTTTGCAAGAAGGGGTTCTGTGCTGCTGCTACCCAGGAGGGAATGCCCCGCAGCATGGCTGGGAGAGGTGTGTTCCTGCCCCAGCAGTATTAAAACGGGGCCCTGGGGTAGTTTATGGCAGCAGAAAGTCAACTGCAGTCCTCCCGCGCGAGCGATGCTGGCCCATTCAAGTCACTGCTGAAGTTACTTTTCAGTTAATGGCCCTTCTTAAATTAAACCAGAAAGGAAACACAGCTCCATTCAGTCCCAGAGAGGTCCTGGGCGCCAGCCGAGTTGGGTAAAGCCCAACGTGCTCTTGTGCATGCAAACAGCAGGGGAGGCACCGAGGGCACGTGGAGCAGGGAAAGCGCTGCCTTCA